CCTGCATTTGTGGAAAAAGAATCTCCCTACAAGCAGTACCTCAGCAGGGAGAGATACACAGATGACACTTACAGAGAAGTGCCACCCCCATTTGGAATAACGTATTCTGAGATAGCTTTCTTTACAGTGGACTAAGAGGAAAAGCTGACCAGACAGATCAGTTATACAGACACAGAGGGTCCTGTCTATACTGCAAAATATGCTGTGCTGAATCAGTTATATGAGGACTACTCTGTGGCTGCCTAAGCTTCTGGGTGGTGATAGAACATATTTTTAGTTGCCATGGTTACTAAATAAGTAAACGCGTGCATATGGACACAGCTGAACCAACCTTGTCACTAATTTGGATACAAATAATTAAAAACTAATGTAGACAGGGACTTTGGGTCAACAGAAGGTATCAGCATAGCTCTGAATCCTGATGCCTGTGCAAATGAGTGAAGTGACCATCATTCTGAGTTTCACAATACGGCTGTAGTGCTATGATTGACATTTAGTGCTGCACTGTTGCTCACTGCTAGCCTGATGTGTGAGAGAAAGATGAAGAGATACAAAGAAGTGAAGAGGGAAGGGAGATAGACTATACAGGAGAAACAGTGATAAAATGGTTTGTATCCTGCCATTTCTCCACTTTGAGGTATATGTAGCTGGTCAGAGAGATTATCTGTTTTAGAGTTTATGAAATCCTGGAAGGAAGGGGATGAAAAAAATTGAGAATTGGGCACCAGGGGAGTCAAGAGAATTAAAAGTAAGCAATAAGAAGACATACTGTATACAACAAGAGCTGTTACCAGCCAGGAAAAGTGTATGAGTTTCGGAAAGGGCGTGGATGCACAGACCAGATCTTCACTCTACAAACATATGAGTTTCAATACTACAGAAAAAAACTTGTCACAGGTGCATGCTCATCTTGACCTTCTGGGCTCCATTCTGTCCTTAGACATGCATGCACAGCTTCCAGTGATTTCACTAAGGGCTGTCTGGGTCTATCTGTTGCCTGCACTGGGCCCTATGACTTTAGTTAGTACCTTGAGTTACTGAACCCACATGTGGTAGATATTTATCCACCCTAGAGAGGCAATAATCAATTATTAAAAAAAAATGATTTTTTTTATTTAAATCAGATTTTTGAGGAAAAAACCTTTCTAAAGATAGTTTTATTTAAGATACATTATAGGTCAAGATATCTCATAATGGAATAGGGATTATAAATTCTAATTCTATAGTATGAGACAATATATTCATGTAATGTTTAAGAAAAGTTTTGTAAGTGAGTTCCAATAGTTCATGGATTAGGGATCCAATCTTATGGGGTTCCAGGAGCTTCTGTATAGATTAGTTAGGTTAATCTTTCTATCTACCCAATGGGATTCAGTGCTCAGTCTAGAAGATACCATCAGAGATGCTTAGTTTTGCCGTTCTCAAACTGTGGATTTGTCTCTCCAGAGATAACATGCTTGTTAACAGCAAAAAATGTTTTTAAATAAATAACAGAGGTGAGAAATAACAGACCTCCACCCTATTGTCCTTCTGCAAATTTGTGTACACAGTCAATCCCTTACCTCTCTATAAAAGTGCAAAGTTTCAAAAAGTTGAATAGAAGATTGTTGGGGGTAGATTAGATCTGGACAAGGAGAAGAAGTCTGGAGATAAATGTGAGAAGGGAGGGACAGGCAGTAGAAACAAAAGTGAAACTGTTTGAGCAGCATATTCCAGAAGTCTTTCTGATTGTAGCCTTCATTGATTTGAGATCTACCATACTATTCTCTAGAAAGGAAAACCTATAATGGCAGGAGGCCGTAAAAGAGACCCAGTTTGGGAATATTTTAATGAAGTTCCTCTATCTGTGGGTAAGACAGGCATGTGTGCAAAATGCACACAGTGCAACAAAGAAATGCAAGGCCTGGTTACCCGAATGAAACAACATCATGAGAAGCGTTCCTTCTCAGGAGGAAACTGCGTGGAAGATGATGAAAGGAACATGTCTGAACATGCAAAAATCTTCAGGTTGGTAAACTTTTTTATTTCATATTTCTTTGTAAAGAACTGCCTGGTCTTCCTTCTGGACTATTCTTGAATTCACATGTTTGAGCAAAAAAATATAATTGTTACTCTATGGTACTATCCTTTTAGATGCAGTTTTGATAAAAAAATAAATAGCTGAAATAGGCAGATCTTCCTTTTACAATTTCACCTTTTAAAGTAGTACTGAGTGTCAGTGAATGCAGTGAGTAATACTAAATGAACAGTATGGTAATAATAATTAAATAACTGCATTGACTTATTTTGTTTATGAGAATCCATCCTCAACATACAGGATTCTGAAGACTATCCACCTTCAAGATCACCATCATTTTCTATAGTTTCAGAGTTATCTGCCAATGATAGTGTTTCAGTAACATCATGCATGTCACAGTCATAGTATATCACCTGTAGCAAAAAAAGAAAAAAATCTCCATCATCCAGAAACAACCATAGATAAGTTTGTGATAAGAACCAGCAGATTACAAAAAGAGGTAATTGATGAAAAAATTGCCTGGTTTGTTTATGCAACAAACTCTCCTTTCCGTATGATTGAGAACCCACACTTCATTAACATGGTTCAGTCATTAAGGATACAGTCCACCCAACAAAGCAGATGTCGCAGGCAAATTGCTGGATAAAGTGTATGAAAGAGAAATTGAGCAGTGTGCAAAAGGTCTAGAGGGTAAAATTGTTAACCTGAGTCTTGATGGGTGGAGCAGTGTCCACAGTGATCCTGTGGTATGTGCTTGTGTGACAACAGAAGAAGGGAATATCTTCCTTACAGAAACAATTGATACATCAGGAAATGCACACACAGCATAATACTTACAAGAAGCAGCAGTAAACTGAAAAAAAATTCAAATGTCTAGTACGCAGCTTGGTCACAAACATTGCTGTAAATGTATCCAAGATGAGAAGAAATTTAGAAGAGCGTGAAGAGAGTCCCAAGCTAATAAAATACGACTGCAGTGCTCATTTGATGCACCTCCTAGCCAAAGACTTCAGTGTTCCAGAAATAAAGGCTAATGTTGTTGAAATTGCAAAATACTTCCATAACAACCACTTTGCAGCAGCTGCTCTGAAAAAAGTGGGAAGAACCAAGCTAACTCTCCCACAAGACGTGCGATGGAACTCAGTAGTGGACTGTTTTGAGCACTATATCAAGAACTGGCCTAATCTGATGACAATGGGGGGACGAGGGGGCGGAGTCGGGGCGGGGGGACGGACGAGAGCCTGTGCACCAGAGCGGAGGGACAAACAAGCAAATATTGGGACGTCTGGTCACCCTAGTTATCTATGACATGGACATCCAGCAATCATCCTTCCATAATGCCAACTATAATAAACTTCAGAGCTAAGGGTGAACTATTCAAGAAATATGTTTGCTGATGATGTTTTAAAGAAAGTCACACCAGTGAACTGGTGGAAGTCACTTAAATACGTGGATTCAGAGACTGTTGAAGTGATAATCTCACTTTTAACAGCAGTAGCTTCTTCTGCTGGTGTAAAAAGAATATTTTCTTCTTTTGGACTAATTCATTCCAAGTTGAGAAATCGTTTGGGACCTGAAAAAGCAGGAAAGCTTGTTTTTCTTTTCCAAATTATGAACAAATAGGAAAATGAAGGTGAAGACGACTAAGTTAGCTGCAGAAGCCAATATTTTAAGTTTCTCATGTTGACTTGGCTGACATAGTCTATTTAAATTTTTTTTTAAAAATATTTCATTTAACTTTTTTAGTTAAAAACAATTTTAACAAAAACAAACCTGATTTTAAAAAACTTGAATGTTTAAATTCAAAAATTCATATGCTTGTTTTGTTAAAATATTATGTTTGCTCTTGAGGAAAAAAATCCAGAATACATATTATTGTTTTAGTTAAATAAAACAATTAAATGTCTGTCTGGTGATTGTTGGGATATATAAGGGTTAAGTAGAGACCTGGGAAACCGCTGGTATGGTATTAAGGAGTCACAGGCAGGCACCGTTTCTGTGCCTGACAGAATAAGTGTCCATCCCTCGCCCTCCCCTTCAGCTTGCTGGGAATAAATAAGTGTTGCAGCTGCATAAGAATTGTAGTTGTCTAAAGGATACTTTTGTGTAAAGAAGTGTTATCTCTCCCTCCCTTCTTTTCCCAGCTACATAAACGAGCTCAGGTCATGGTCCCTCCCTCACTCCCTCCCCTGAGAACTGCTGATTAAGGGAACTTGTAGCAACAATTATTGCAAAGAAATGTATGTATAATATGCGTAATGCTGTAATCAGTCAATAGGGGTGGGTATAATCATAGTATGGGAGTTTATTACTTAATAAGGTTTTTTGGGGTGTTGTAGCGAATGTAGGCGTTTACATACTAACTTAAATAAAAGAAGTGTTATGTAACTAATCCAGTACTCACTCGACAATTCTGTTGAGGGGAACAAGTATTGCAATAAAGAAGCTCGTACTCAAATCCGCCTCTGGGTCAACCTGCTCATTCTTCTCAAAGGGCTTGTCTATACTTACCGCGCTGGTTCGGCGGCAGGCAATCGAACTTCTGGGTTCGATTTATCGCGTCTTGTCT